GGGGGGAAGAACTACACTTTCTACGTGCAAATGTCTACATGCATTTTGACCCAGAATTTGATCTAAGTTATTTTACATTTCTTATGGTACGTTAACCTAGTGGATACAGAATAGGTCCATTTTATTAGAAGAAGTACCTCCTTAAGAAAATGGTGACTTCAGGTAATGCTATATCCAGGTTGTTCTGGTTCTGGATGTTATTCTGTTCAAAGTCTGACTTTTTTACGTCAATGAGCAATTCTTCATTGAATAGTGAGTCATGTATGACTGTTTTCATGATCTTGGGTCAATATGCCTTCAATGTAATTGATTCCATTGCCATTATCTTTAATATGCAATATACAATTAATATACGGATTCTACTTGCTACAGGCAGTGATTTTTATTTGCGTTTTATCAGTGGAAACATAAGATTGTGAACAAAGGGAAAGATGCTCTTGTAAGAGTGACAAAAAGGTGAAATTTTGAGTTATTCATTTCTTCGTTTAAAGTTACGTTTATAAATCCGATCGTCACAGATAAACATTTGTTCTTTACTTATTTTTTTGGGAATAGCCGAGCAACAATGATCTCTATTTCCAAAGAAAGCAGTAAAAGTGTCGGGGTACCCACCATCGTTATGAATTTACTAATGAGCAGCTAAGGAACATTAGGGCGCGTTAATATTTGTGATATCCAAAATTAATAAGTCAAGCCTTTTCTTTTCCCATACGGAATTCAAGAAATCGTCAGCAAACAGTGAATATATCAAAAGCATTGTCCCTCCTATAGAATGGCGACTATGCGAGAAGAATGGGCACTGTGTTCAAAGAAGCAGGAAATTCTTTCATTCCAGAGCGAGATTAACTCCTGAAAAGAAGACATAAAAAATCCTTGTTACTAACCGGGGCATACGTGTAGGAAAACGTTAGATCTAAAAAGAATAATCTATTTATTGTCTTTGTACTTAACAAAGAGAAACACAAATTAGTGAAAAAAATAACGCTGTAGTTACAAATATCGCAGCAGTATTAAAAAAACTTATTATTATTGATAAAAATATCATATTAAAATCATTACCTCACACCCTCACGGCAGTGACAACTGGGACGTGAGCACAGAACTCTGCGACAGTGGCGCCCATCTGCGGCAGAACTTGTTCTTTTTTCAGTGGTGGCCAAACGACACGGAAATGCTTCAAGATCTCGTTCACTGCGTTCTCGTTATTCTAAAAAGAAAGTGATAAAACGGCGAATGGAATGAAAAATGAGTTGTGATATGAAAGTACAGATTACTGGATGAAAATAAGGAAAACGAGAAAAGACAAAGAAAGAAAACACATTTCAATTAATCCAAAACAATTTAATTTGGATAAATCATTGGTCATTATGTTTGCTATGTGAGCTACTGGTTCGTAAAAGAAAAATATGTAATGAAAAAATGTTATTACCACTGAAAGACTTAGTATATTCCATAAGTACCGCGCATTCTAATTTTTCTCACAAAGACCAGAAAAAATTGATAAGTTTGTTAAAAAGCGGCGACTCTGATAACAGGGTCGGTTGACAGAAATTACCATATAATAATAATAATAATAATAATAACAATAATAATAATAATAATAATAATAAATTGATGAGATATTTTTTCAAAATTAAAATTAGCCGTGCTTGTTAGCCAACTAAACAATTTTCAGTTGAACACGTCCTTACTACTAGTGCCTACCTTGAGCTCATGTCGTATTTCCCCAAACTCTCTGTGACTGGATAACTTTGCACAGTAACACAACAACTCTATGCCGTCACGGGCCGTCACTGTCAGCTGGGGAATAGAACATATCCGTAATGATAATCCACTTATTAAACCATATTTATGTCAGATACTTGTCACTTTTTATTGTGTCGTCGGTTAGAGGAAACTTACATTCATGTGTGACAAATCTCTCTCTTATTTATTTATTTATTTATTTATTTATTTATTTATTTATTTATTTATTTTGTAAATAAATAATTTATTTTGTAAATATAAAAAGTTGGGGTATATAAATATGTGGAATGTCTGTAAGTTTCATGTAATTTGCCTCCAGGACACGTCGTCTGATCTCTGCATTGATAACGTACAAGAAAAAAAATTTTTGAGCAACACCGAGTTTTCGTTTTTATGTGTAACTAAGGCTACCTGTACTTACACGCTTAGAGTCGAAGAGAACTTTGATCTTGTCACTGACGACAACAATCTCTTGCCCCACGGATAAGGAGGGCAGATTTTCCTCTTTCCACGAATCAGGATTCTGAAAACGTCAAGTTTAGAGATAAAGAAGAAAGAGAAAGACAGACAGAGAGTCGTAACAGCAAGTAGTAATAGAACTGGTTACGTTGAATTTAATAATACCAGTTAAGCAAAAACACTTAAACCACAAGAGAGGTTTGTTTATTCTGAAAGTAAAAGTAAACTTGCTTGACTTCTTTATTAACATGATATGGTTGATTAAGAAGTAACAAAAAACTCATTTTTTAAACAAAATTAAGAAAATTTTGACGGTAAGTATAACTAAGAAGATTTTTTAATGACAATAATTCTAAAAGGCAATTCAAAACGACAAAAACAATGAGTTTTCGAAAATAACAATAATTAATTTACTAATTAATTAATTAAATGGGGAATTATCAATTTTGCGCACTTACTTCAGGCTCCGGGACAGAGGCCCCGGAGGCCACAACCACGACAGTCAGCAGAAGGCCGAGACGGAACATGACTTCCCTCCTGTACAGTCCGCTCCCTATGTTCAACAGTTAGAAAGTCTGCGTCTTCTTGTACTCTTAACTTCTCACCGGCTGTTTTTCTTCTCCAGTGTGCAAACCCAGTGAGTCAACATTTCATTGAATGTTATCGACTTGATTGAGTATTTAAGTGGGAGAAAATTTATTCTGGCGTCTTTTTTTTCACACATTTCTTTTTGTTCGTTTTAAATCAAGTCCTGATAAGGAGGTTTCTAATGCATTAATAACAAATTTGCTTTTTCCGTCGTTGGTGCGGCTGGTGCAGCGCCAAATAAATTACGAAGTCTATGTAGTCTACTCTTTTGAATTCTCAAATTTAGTATGACAAGTCTGCGATATGAGCTGAAGACTCTTTTCATGTATCGCTTTTTTGTGCATGTAATTTTTTTTACCTAATTTCGAAGCATATGACCTTATTTTGACTAGGATCTCATTTCCCTATCGTATTGCTTTTTAAGTTTCCAATCGCAAAAATATCCAACAAGCAGCATGTATAGGCTGCCCTTACAAATCGCACAAATAATGATTTAATATCTTCCAAAAGTGCCGAAAGAAAACCGTAAGTGGGGTTATTTGAAATAATGACCCGCCAGATTGATGGCAGACCTCTATCTTTTCTTTCTTTGGAAGAGTGTTCATTTATATACTTTTCATCTTGGTCTTCTCTATCGCAATTTCATCACAAGATCTAGCTGACGTTCTAGTATACATTCGCAACGGGTTTGACTGTTCTCTACCAGGGTCACAGCTAGATATTTGTTTGGACATTTACACTGTGCATTTTCTGTACTGTAGTTGGCGACAATTTCTGTAAAAAAAAAAAAAAAAAAAAAAAAACGTCCTCGCCCGACTGTCCTGTGCATTTTCCTGTTCTGTATACAGTGACAATTGCTGTAAAAAAAAACGTCCTCGCCCAGCTGTCTTCTGGTATAAAAAAGGTTTTACTCCTGTCTGCCACAGGCAGGTTGGGTGATGACGTACATGTTGGGCAGAAATTCTCGCTGAACGCAGTTCAGTTATGAACATATTCACTGCTGGAAATTTGAAATCAAATTTTTTCTCGTGGAAAAATTCTTTGTGACCCTGGAAGGGTTTTACTGGAAGGAACTCGATCTTACGGAGTACGGAGGATGGGTGGCTCTCTAGGCGCAGTCGTTGGGACTGGATTTATTACTTTTCGCATAGAAAAAGATACAGTTAGTTTTAATTGTAAGCCTTTAAAGAAAAGTGATCGATTTGACAACAATGCATTGCTGATCATCATCCCTGAAAGCCTGAATCCTCAAAACTACAAAATAACTTTCCTTTCACTTCACTAATTAATACTAATGAAGACCGCGCTCTCTTTCCTCGGGACCGTAGCCAGGGGGAATTTGGGGGGGGGGGGTCGAATGAACCACCCTTTCTGCTGGGAAAAGGTCCACTATGGGTAAAATATTATCTACATACACGAGGATTTTTTAGTGAAAAGTCCACTTTTTCAACAAAACGAACCCCCTTCTGAAATTACTGACTACTCTTCCTTTACAATGGGCACAGACAATTTCTCACTATATATTCAGATATTTTACAGCTATTCTTTTATTCAGAAAAGCATTTATTACGAAAAGTCAACGAATGCTGTTACAGTTACAAAACATTTTGACAAATATCAACATCCACAAAAGCAGGGAAAACATTGTACTACTTCTCTTGAATTTTCTCTGCTCTTCTTGAGATTTATATAGTCTTTGTAAAACACACAAGAGCAAGCTGTCACGTAAAAAATTACCTGCAATACAGCAGAAGACTCCATGTAAATAAAGCACATAATATTTACACTTGATTCATTTACTGACGACTGATGGTCTATTCCATGAAACGTGTGTCTATTACTTCAGTCCATATCAGTCACGCCAAAACGAGAAACAGAACTATAGAAACAAATATGCATTCGGAACATAATCAAAAATTGCAACTGAAAATAACATTAAGAAAAACAAAGAAAAAAAAAAGAAAGTAACTGTTACAGAAACCCATTCAGTAAGGCAATAAAGTAGTTTCTCTTAACTCTCCCTGAATTCTTCATAAATATCATTTAAGAATTTCACAATCCATAGTCTTTGGTAGCAGCCACTGCTGTCCTTTCCTTCCAAAATTCTTTCCCCCTCCATCCTTTTAACATGATGGTTATCATCCTCACACTCAAAATCAGTCCACAGATTTTTATATAATATAACCTAAGATTTATTCTAGCAGCCGATCCTATCGTCCAATCAAAACTCGTCATGTTCAATATTACTAGCAGAGTCCCTACTTGATCCAGAGTTTGGTTTCACAAAGATGCCCTCCATGGCCTGCCACAGGTTGGCGTCCGAGGGGGAGTGGTAGGCGCTGACCTCACGCTGGCCGTGGATGGGACGACCAAATGTGTCCCCGGAGACGTGTAAATAACTGAAAAAATCAATTCAGAATTGTCAAAAACAGATCACAAAGTTTCTTAAAAGAATTAATGCTATGATAACCATCCTTTGTAAGTAGGCCTCTGGCCCTGTATTGCAAAAGACAAAATGTACAAAATATTGTAATTCAAAACATATACATGAAAATTGTACAACATAGTCAAAGAAAATTAAATTCAGAATTGTCAAAAAATGGCCACAAAATTTTTATGATGATACAATCGATGATACAATAATTAGCACCTGTAAATATGTCTCTGGCCCTATATTTCAACTGACAATAATCAACAATAATTATGATTTGTTAAATATGTGCATATGAAACTTGTATCTTGGAAACTTAAAAAAAAACATATTTAATACCATAAATTAAATGAAGAAATTATTGTGACATAAGGGGGACTATTTTATGTCTGAGTTCAAGGAAATGGCACTTTCCAGGCTTAAAACTGACCATCATTTACTGATCATATCAAAACTGCCTGAGATAAAACTTGGAAGGCAATCATGAACTTTAAATGTAAGGTAGGTGCATCTTGATCTCAGAAGAAAGGTAAACATAAAACTTCCTTGTAAAAGTTCAGTAATTATGGAACTGAATTCATAAATCATCCATCTTATGGTAACTTGATACTGACCCTTACTTCAAATTATTTTTTCTTTCTTTCTGTTATCTTTCCTTCTATTTTATTCACATTTTATTTCTAGTTAAATTTTGTCTGATTTTGGACAATGTCTAGATAGAAAACCCAACACTTACTGTTCTGTTACAACATGTTTTAGCCGGACAGGTTCAGTTCTGGACCAATATTTCCCACTACATGTCACTGCCCAGTGATCACCTAGAGAATGACATTGTTTTATAACATACAGCAACACTTGCAAATGTACAGACAGGTGAAAGGACAATGATGAATACAATTCCTTTTCTTTTTATTGGAGAACAGTCAAGCACTAACAAAAAGCCTGATGTTAAACCCACTAAGTAAAGATTAAATGTTTCCAACAACTAATAAACTATAATTATGTATCACACACACACACACACAAAATAATACCATTCCTCCTCTAAAAAAATAGTTACAAGCTAGACATATTCTGCTTTGACCATGAGAAATGCAAAAATGAATCTATTCTCATTCCCAATTCTCTATTACTTGGTTCAAATTTGGATTTTTAAAAACATTTATCCAGTTATCACGCTACAGAATCACATCCTAATTTCCCAGCTACACTCCACTTGTCGTACCTTCGTCACCTTCTCCTCCATCCCCAAATGCACTGACTTCCTGGTTTCTAGACAAAGGAGACTGGAAATGGTGACTATGCAGATTCTTCTGTGTTGTGACGTGTTGCAGTCTAATGGTCTGACCGCATTTTACTGGATTTCTGGAGAAAAAAACATAAAATTGTATAGGGAAATATAAAAAACATCTTTAGGAATTTAATTATAAGTAAGTAACAGTGGGACTGGTTCTCATAAGCATTATCATAAATGAAATTGATACAAGTTGATAAATGCATACCAGAGAGCAATTTTTTTTTTTTTTTTT